ATCGATACCAAACCCTCACGCAGAAAGAGTGTCACTAGCAGAAGTTTTAACCAACAAGCCGGGGAGAGTGGCTGTCGTATCTGGCACAGGTTGCAGGGATGAAGCCGGGACGCGGACCGAAGTTCAGGGTTGCAAGGGTGCAACGACAGCCAATCGCTCCCACTGATGCAGCACATATGCTCACAACCCCAAAACCGCTTTCCCTCTGCAACCAGAAAAGGAGGTGGGCGTCACGGGTGTGGGTCCGATGATGACTCATATCCCGCGGAAGGAAGGCAAATATCATTTTTAGATTCGAGCAGGACGGGGCTGTAGGTTCAAAAAACAGCAAGAGGGTTGGTTCAAAGGACGCGCTCTCATTGATGCGGCATGTCAAAACCATCTCCCAGGTCGAAGTTCGGACTGGCATGACAAGGGGAGATAAGGGGAGCATAGCGGTTGCACACGACAACCCGTCAAAGCCAGATGACGACTGTGCCAGTCGTGTCTCAACAATGAGTTCGCCGGAGCACCTCTGAGTTTCATGGCAAATCTCGATTTCATCTAAATTGACCTGCAAACCTTGCTCTTCTTGGACCTTTTGGTGTATTAACATTTGTTTCACAGTTTCGGGTTTGTCTTCGTCGAGAGGCTTTGCTCCCGGCACGTTGGACGAGCAGAAATGCTTCAAAAGTGTGGAACTCGGGAAGCCAAGGAGTCCTGTGGCTGCGTCTAAGCTCGGCTGTGGCTTTGCTCTGCTGCCACCTCATTTTCAGGTTCATGCAGCGGGCGTTTGCTGTTGCTTCTGGCCCAGCCGATGTGAAGGAATAGCCGCATCTCCCACTTCGGCACATGCAGCATTCACTTACGTTCGAAGTTGGTTGAGTGTCCACTTTGAAGAAGACTCCTCGGATTGACATACCTTCAGACAATGAAAGACAATTTACGATTTTATGATATGTAATGTGGCATTGGGTTTACTTTGGTGACCCTCCATGCGTTTGCAAGTGCCCTTTGTCATGTGCCGAGAACATTGCCCAGATTTTCTGTTGTAGTGGTCAGTAATCTTAGCTGAGTTCTGAAGTGACAGTTGTTGAAGCTCTTGGATATGCTTCCCGTTGCAAGTGAAGGAGGGCCAACGTGACCGGAAAAGTGGCATAAAGCTTGCCGCGATGCCCTCAGATACCTTCAGTTCCTGAAGTGCTGTTTTTAGCTCCGAAGTGCAAGGAGCCACCTACAGGCGACAGGCCAGGTCGCCTGCAGTCACCTGGAGCACCTGTGCTTCCGCACCTTCAGGCCGTGGCACAAGTGGCTGCAAGTTGAAAGGTGCGCAGAGCATGTCTGGCCAGCACAGCGAATTAAATGTTAGATGAACAGTGTAGATGTGTGATCTTGTGATACATCACAGTATCGACACACCAACTTCAGCACGGCTCCACCCCTGGGTGCTACGAGTTAGTAGCTAGCAACAGCCGCAGCGATCTGGGCCGCTTTTCATGCCGAGCCAGGCATTCAGCAGCTCGCGAAGAGATCGAAGAGACTCATTTGTTCAGAAAGCTCGTGTGGACTTCTTAAGGGAGGCATGTCAGCAAAAGCCTAGCATACTTTTGACGGGTTTCTCGAGAAGGGGAAGGCGGAGCCAGAATCGAGAAGGGATACATCCATCGGACACGACCGTGAACAGTGAACCCCGAAGCGCCACATCCCCCAATCCGAGCAGATCCATTCTAGGAATCCATTCTGAGCAGAAAATCTTGGGCCGCAAGTCTGGGCCTCGATTTGCTCTGGTGCTGCAAAGTCGAGAGCAAAAGGTCTACGTCCTTACAGCTCAACACCCGGAGCATCAGAATGGTGCGGAACGACGAAGCCCAGCCAACACGATCCCGAACTTAGCACGGTGTGCCAAATTAGGGCAACGCATACACTTCTGAATTTCTTGTCAATCGCCGCGGGTTGAGCGTCAGCTGAGCTTCGCGCAGACCAGCGGCAGATGAGAACGTGTACTCAACCTCAGCCCGTACTGTTGATCCATCTTAATCGGCAATTTCTGGCACGATCTGTCGCAAGGCAACACAGGTCACAAGGGGACTCAGATCAGCTTGCGCCTGGCCAACCGAGAACGAGGAACCCGTGTCGAGACATGGGGCACAGGAATTCGTACAGTTAGCTTATAAGACAAATTCTTGAATACCACCCGAACGCTCGCAGGAACAGTGGCCCGGGCTTTGCACTGAGCGATGAGGGGCAGTCAACACTCAGCTGTGTGTCCGCATCACACCCCAGGTGTGGACCGCGTGAGCCAGCAACAAAGCAGGCCATGGTTGGTCGGGGTGTGGGAGTGTTTCATTCATAGGAGCCCAAGAAGATCCAAGAAGTGTTTTGGCAAGTGGGGTTTTAGTAGGTAACGGGGTCCAGAATCCCAAACTCCACAATCCTGAAAGCCTTTACAGGGGCTGCAGATTGAGCTCTCTCCTTCGTTTTTGCGCCCGTCATGCTCAACAGATCTCGACAGCCAGTTAAACGTTCAGATCCTCTTTGTGGTTCATTGGACACTCCGGGTTTACGCAGTGGACAATGGCGAGGAGGAAAGGACGGGTTTGATGATGTGCGGTTGTCTCTTTAGGGAAGCAAATGCTACTGGCAGCAATTTGGAAAGTCAGAAACTGTCCATGCTGGCGATGGGGCCCGTACCCACAGCAAACGTGATTTCAGGGATGACAAGAAGTGCCTCGAACCCCCATGCTAGCGGGGTCAGACTTGACACTTGTGGATCAGAGAAGAGGTGCGGCTGGGGGGCAGGATCGAAAGGACGTGAAGATTTCTGATCGCAGGCTGGCTTCTGCAACGGAGACCACCAAAATGAGCAGCGTGGTTGCAGATAGTTGGACCACTGGATGCGCATTCCTGTCCTTCCTACAGTTCTACATGCCAAAATCTTTGAGGCCACAGATTGACAGTCGACACCTTGGCAATACCATGACGATAAGCCGGAGACATGCTTTGCACATCTTTGCACCCAAGCAGCTGCTTTAGGGCGCTGTGGCTTCGATACGCGAGCCTGATATCGATTTACTTTGGCGCGAAACTGAGAAGCCTGAACCCGTCAGCACATCAGCCCCTCGGGCACTACAACCAACGACGATTTGGACTGCAGTACCTCTGGCATGTGCGCTTTCGCGGCCGTATTTGTTACCCACTCTCAGGTCGTATGGCTTTCCGCACGAGTCTCCCGTTGCTGCCAAGATGGATGGTTTGGGGCTACCAAGGCGGGGAGTGCCGATCACTCGGCTCGTAAGCGATCGGAACGGAATGAGTCTCGTGGAAGGTGGTTTATGGACCTTGCCAAGCCAATGCAGACTCCCGTTCAGGCTTGAGTACACTTGTCACCTGACCGAAAAACACTTATTCTTGGTGGTAACCTGGCTTGCTTGCCTCGAAGGAGCGTGCACAGCCGATCGCCCGGACAAAGAGTTTGACACGCCCTGCGGAGGCGTGGATCGCAGTTGCTTGATGGTTACCAGAACTCACTACAAGAATGCCGCCATGAACAGTGGCACATCGAATGAAAGAACGAGGTCAAAAAGACGCGAAGGACCAGTTTCGTCAACGCCTCTCATGCGAGGACGGGCGCCACAGTGAATCCACAGTGATATGGTGGCACAGTGTGGAACACCTGTGTTGGAAGTGACAGCGAGCAAATTCGTCTCCTCCTTCCACGGATCGCAGTTGCTAAGCCTCAATGAATGGACATATCCCCGCCTCTAAACCCCTTCATCCAAAAACCTCGAGACCCCATGACGAGCCAGCCATGCGGCAGAACATGTCCGGTGGTTTGGGGCTCGCGGGTTCGGGGGGACCCTACCTCCTCGACCTTGTACATAGTCCTCACGCAATATGGCCAATATGTCTCTAACCCGTTGAAGTGCTCATAATTACAAGGTGGTTCGAGATCACATGTTCTCTAACCGATTGAAGCTGTCAGCTTGCGTAAAAATACTACTGAATTATAGGTCTCAGCCCCGTATCCTGAAGACTGGAAGAGACCGGTACAAAGCTGCAAGCCCAATGAGAAGATCGGGCGCTGCCCCCTCTCTTGTTGCTTGCAATTCCGCTGGAGCTTAGGCCTTGGAGAGCTGTCCAGGAGCATCTTCATACCGTCATTTTCATGGAAAGCCTGGAAAGCCTTGAAAACTCTGGGAGCATGGATTTGGGAACCTGCAAAATGCCGAGGTCCGAGGTGCACCTTGCAAATTGCTCAATGCGCTTTCTAGGTTCTTCTTTGAACAAGTTCCTTGGTTCCGTGAATGTGATCGACACTGTGCCCGAATAAATGCTGCGAATTTGTCCTGAAGATATGGGCGAGACGACTTCATCAATGTCAGCACTCTTGTGGTTCTTGTGTGTCATCGGTTCCTGGAGTCCTGGCGAAAAATGTGAGAACGTGCCCTCACAGATGCGAATTTCTACAGCCCGATTTCATCAACATGGTGTGAATGGCACCTTCGTTGTTGAGCCACCCATGTTTCAAGGCCAATGCAATCAGGGTGCACCATGATACTTTCGACCATGCTATTCGCACTACCTACCGGACCCTCCATTCCTCCATTCGTCATATTCGTCGAGAGACTCCACCTGTGGCATTGACCGCTAGCGCAACTCCCGGCGCGGCCCGCTGGGTTTTCAACATGAACGCCAACCATAAGCCGATGGCCCGAAAGGCACGACCAGCGACGACCGCGACCGGCCCCGACTCAGCGCTGAACGTGGGTGAACCGCCATGCTGACATAAGCGCGCTTGGATTGCCACGGTCCGGCTACAACAGGAACGACTTTCATAGTTCATCTTGTTTGACTTCCTTGCCTACCCTTGACGCTCCTCAGCAGCACAGAACTACATATGCGCTGATATCGATGACCTTTATGTGTGCGCGATGGCTACCCCTGCCCCCTCTCGCAGACTTCGATGCACACTCCGGTGCTGGTGCTAAAGGCAGCAGCAGGGCATAACCCGAAGTTCCTTCGTTGCTCCATTCGCCTCGGCATGCAGGCGCAATGATCACAAGAATCCTGACCACCGCGAGCTCCCACTGCACATCAAGACATTCAGGTAGGAAGACTCCGAGTGGTGTAGGAGACACCAAATGTCAGGCAAACCCATGGCTACTGTACGATTGCTAGCAGCCACGCACGTGCTCTGCCTGCGCTCATCCACAATCAGCCACCCGGAGGGTTGTTCTCACCACAGAGACCACAATGGCCCAAACACCCGTGATCATGGCTGCACACAGTGGTGAGGAAGCCCTGCATCAGACTCGACTACGATGGCGACATGCAGGTGGGGGACATGTGCCCATCAAGGGTCTGTAATCGCCGAGGCGAAGCTTAAAAGTTGACCAGCAAGCGACCACTTTCCGGCGGTGCTCGAAACCTGTCCGCAACCGCCACGGCAGGGGCAGGCGACACCTTGTCAAACGGTCCTCCTCCATAGCCGCGATGCACTTCAGCACCGCACAACCCCCGTTTGAAGAAGTCCTCTATCGCACGGCTGGTGGGCTTGCACGCTCACAGGCCTGGTTTCCGTGGACTGGTTTGGGTCAAACTTTCTCAAATGGCTAAAACCATTGCGAGCGGGGCCCGGACGACTGGGGCGGTTCCTCTTTCCTACCGCCCCCTCTCTCTGGCTTTGGAGAACTGTGTCCAAGCTCACGGCCAAGTCTTTGAAGTGCAACTGAGACCAAATGGCTCGTTTCTCGCGCGCATCATTTGCACGATGCATGGCACCGTTACAACCAGCCGCGACAGGGGTCCCATGAACTTTGCGATGTAAGGTTTAGGGTGATGGGAGGACGCGACCGCCATCGAAAGGAGTCGGTCCGTACTGCGAGAGATTCCGATGCATTCTATACGTGTGGACAGCACCGAATCAATATCCGACATCAAAGAAGTTCGGAACATCGCGAACGTCGCGCCAGTGCTTCGAAAGTAGCAGGAGAGGTGCGCATCCCAGGATGCATCAATCTTCGATTGGCGTGTTTTGCGCGATGCCAAATTTTCGCAGCAATAAGTGTTGCAGGACACCGAGTGCAAGCTTGGTGGGAGCCTCGCCAAAGGCAGATGGCGCCGCGAATCTCGGTCAAAGCATATTCAGCGGCAGTGTTCAACAGGCCGGAGCCTCCACAACCATGACAATTTTGTCACGCACCCCTCCATCTGTGCACTCGGGCGCATGCTCCGTGCTTCAGGTGCTGGAAGAGTTGGCGAATGCAGCTTGAGACCAGCTAACTTCTGTGTGCGTGGAGATCGAGCTCGTGTCAGCCCATGTGCCTGATGACGTTGTTAGATTGTTCGAGAGGCAGTCGCAGCTAGCAGTGCTGCATGTATTGATTGAGATAAGCGCTTGTCACCATCATTTTTTGCGAACAGACCTCGATGCCTCT